TGCAAAGTACCCTAACGCAATGGCTTTGGATTAGAATGCCCTTTTCATATGGCAGCTCTGCTGTGGGACTTCACCTCTCTGGCCCACAGTGTCGTTGTCTGTTAAAGGGGGGTGACAAGAATGGACTGTCTTCCTGGGCCATCATGGATCAGTGAGGTCAGGTATGCAAAGCACTAGGCCTGGGGTTAGCCAATGGGACTATTTCTGTGGCCTCCCCACCGTTCCTCGTTTTCCCTCCTCCCTTTCCCTTCTCAACTTTCTCACCTGGCTCAGGTCTGGGCCCCCACGGGTGCTGGCTTTCAGGCATTTGTAAAATGCCTCTATGGGGTCTGTCCACGCCACTCGTCCTGAGTTCTTTTTTCCCATGTGGTAGCTTTTTTAATGTTCCTGGTGTTTGCAGATGAGACTGGCACCTTCTGCCCTGCAAGTGTTCAAGTTTCGCATTGAAGGTCGCTGTTCTGCAGGGATTCTATAGTCTCACTTTCTCGTTTATGTAAGGCTACCCCCCCCCAGGAAGCAGGAGGCTGGGCAGAGGGTTTGGGGCCACTAAAGCCACCATGGAGTTAGTCTGAGTACCCTCAAGGGAGAAAGGCACCCCTACTGAGGGGGTGGGACTGGGAAGATGGCTCCATTGGTAAAAAGCCTGCTGCCACATAAGCATGAGGATCTGAGGTTACACTCTAGCACCTTTGTTAACACTGGGGACACTGTAGAGACAGGAGGATCCCTGGGGCTTTCTGGCTAACCCATCTAGCCAGTTCAATGAGTTCCAGATTCAGTGAGACCCTGCCCCCGCCTCAAAATAAGGTGGAGAACAACTGAAGATGCCATCTGATGTTGACTTCTGACCTCCACCTGCACACACTTGCACACCATACAAACACATTTTAAAAAAATAGTGACTAGAAGAACATGATAGAAGTCCATGATGTCTAGAATGAGGGGCTCCATACTCCTCCTAAATTGTCCCTCCTGCCTTGGCCACTCCTGCAGTCCATGTTCCTCTGGCTCTCTGCCACTGTCTCTGTCCCTCCACCACGCGCCTACAGGGCTCTGTCTGCCTCCCCACCCCAGCACCTTCCTTCCATCCCCTGTGGGATGAAGCCCCTGCCTCTTGCCCCACTACCATGGATGGCTTAGAGTTGCAGCAGCCTGTGTCCCCACTAGCCCCTTTGTTCACCTCCAACAGCTATCTGATTAAAGGTGAGGACCTCTGAGCTGGCATTGCTGTAAGAACTTTTTGTTTTTTTCCAAATAACTCTCTGGGCCAAGGAAACCAGCAAGCTTGTGGTCCTGCTGTGCCTGAGGCCCTGCAACCCAGCTGGTCCCAAGGCTAGGGGTTGGAGTTGGTGGGGAGCTAGGCCTTGGCAGGGTCCAACCACTGCGCTTTCTCTAGGCTCCCTCCCGGATCCATGCAGGAAAGCAGCTCCCTGGCCCACATCAGTGTGGAGATGACGTCCGTCCTGGGGAGGGCACCTGCTGAACCGTGCCGTTTGGATCTCCCTTGGACTCGGGGCTGAGCTCAGGGCCCTTACAGGGAGCAGAGCAGCTGGAACAGGTCCAAAGGAATGTTGAAAGTGTGAGACACCAGATATCTGCCATTCGGGAACTGCTGCATATCAGGGGTTCATTTAGGAGGATTGGGGGCTGGCTGGGCTGGCAGCTTGAGCAGCCACTAGGATTCTGTCTTCATTATACCAGAAACCCCTTGCAATCCATTTCCTCATTCTGGCAGGATTTAGAACACATGGGAAGACAGAGTGGCAGGGACAGCATGGGCAAGGTCTACTAGCAGTAGTCCAGAAAAGCCTCAAATGCAGGTACCAGGGGCCAGCAGGAGGACACTGTCATAGGTCCTTCGGTAGAAGCAGAATAGGATGAAAGCCTGACAGAGGCATTCATGCCTCTGGGAGCTCACACTGCTGCGGGCAAAGGTGGAGGGATGAAACCTAGGTCCCAATGCTCTGCTCTTGAACACGGAATTGGGAATATATATGCCTTTGTTCCATATCCTCTGCACACAGACATGGTGCTTGGGGGGACAGCAAAGGAGCTCGCTGTCGCTGTGTGCTATCAGTGGCTCCTGGGTGTCTGGACTCCTCTGTTATCACCTTCAGGGCTGAGACTGAGGTGTTAGGGAAAAAGACAGGGTGGCTGAGTGAGGGACTTGAGGGTGTGGGGCTGGATTTGGGCAAAACTCAGAAGGAGGTTGGGCACTTGGGAATGAAAGTTGATGGCTTTAGACAGTTCTCAGTGGGCATATCTAGCAGAAGAGTGGGGACAGGGAGGGGACTGAGATTACTTCTTCAGCCTTGGTGACCTTAAACAGTAGCCATGATGCCAACAGTACAAGGTTCTGAGGACATGTGCTGTGCAGCAGCCCGGCTTGGAAGGACTCCCATTCTCACAGATATATCGAATACCGGCTTCCAGAGACTTTTGAAAGAACCTCAGCCTCTAAGCTTTGTGTCAGCTGTTGGGACCCTGAGGTATACAGCCCTGACACCAGATCTCTTCCCACTACTGGCCCCAACCCAGTAGCCACATAGGCTTCAAGGCCTGGGAAAGGGGTTTCAGATGTTTGCAGAAGCCATGTCAGGAAACCAGCATGGCCCATCCTCAGAGCCTGGGAATGACCTTGACAAGCGAATTTAATGTATAGGAACTTCATCCCTTGGCCCTGATGAAGCCAGGCAGCTGCGCCCCCTGCTGGCACAAATAGACTGGGTGCTGCTTCAGCTGTGTAGCCCGGATCATGGTTACTACACAACCAGACTATGGGCCAAAGCTTGTGGGGGCAGGGGATTTAAACCTCCAGACCTGAGAAGGATGGGTCAGAGAAGATACAAAGCCTGGCTTTGCCACTCAATCCTACGTCCAGAATTGTGCTCTTCTGTCTGACTCTCGGTTCCCCTAATGTAGAATACTGGCTCCCTGCATTTCTCTGCAACCCTTGGGTTCTGATTCTTCATTTCCTTCATCTCCATCACTGTGGACCATCTGAGGACCTTGGTCCAGAGGCTGAGCATGGACTCTATGGAACAATCTGCCCTGGTGTCCACTAAGATCCTCGGTCCTCTCGGGCTGTACAAACAGGCCCTGCCACTCGCCCCCTAATTGCCACAGCTCTGTAGGAAGGAGCGACTTCACCACAAATTATTTTGTTCTAAGAGAAGGACAAAAAGAGAAGCTGAGAGGGATGGGGGATGGCAGGAGGAGGAGAAGATTGCCTGAGCCTGCTTTGTGTATTGCTTTAACCCTTGGACTGCCAGGCACTGGGCAGGCAGCAAGGGCTGAAGCCCCCTGCCTCCAGCCCATCCGCTCGTCAAATGACAGAGTCCTTATCTCTGCATCTCTTCTGTCATTCTCCACCCTTATCATGCCCTGTCTGTCTGTCTCTCATCGGGTGCCTCTGTCACCTCCTTATTGCCCCTCACCGCCAGTCCTTTCTGTCTCCACATGCCCCCGCTTCTGCACAGCCTCATGGCAAGGCTCCTTCGTGGTAGCCGGGCCTATGACCTCTAGTGATGAAGGAGCCAGCTGAGGTACAAACTTGCTGGAATCATTGGAATAGATGCACCGACCGGGTCAGGCTTGGAGACATTAACAGGTGTATAACGCATACCTATGCATGCACATATCCAAGACCCCAAGCCTGAACAAAGACGCCTGCAGAAATCTGCCTCTGAGACTCACATACAAGCTCCCAGGCTGTATCTAGAGGACCTAGCCTCACCCACTCCAAAGTCCCATGCTGGCATGTGCACACAGATACCAGTGTGAAGCCATGTCACATACTAACCACTGAGTTCATGCATGTGTACTCAGACTCCACCTCCTAAGGAGGGGGAATGGGCAGATTAATTCTTCCTACCTTATATCCCTCAATATTCTGTGTCTTGAATGGCAGAGGAACCCCCAAGGGGCTCCTAGAACTCTCCATAGTTTCTGCAAATGGCCTCGGGCAGCACCTACAAAAGGAGCACATTTCCTGAGGCTACGTGGGGGAGTAGCTATGCATATACACATGTAAAAGACTCATTTGTGGATATGTACATATATGTGCACGTGTGGGTGTGAGAGGGTCTCCATGTTGGGATATGTGCATATATGTGCACTGTGGGTGTGAGACCGTTTCCATGTTGTGTATATGTGCATATATATGCACCGTGGGTGTCAGAGCGTCTCCATGTTGGGATATGTGCATATATGTGCACTGTGGGTGTGAGAGCATCTCCATGTTGTGGATATGTGCATATATGTGCACTGTGGGTGTGAGAGCATCTCCATGTTGTGGATATGTGCATATATGTGCACTGTGGGTGTGAGAGCATCTCCATGTTGTGGATATGTGCATATATGTGCACTGTGGGTGTGAGAGCGTCTCCATGTTGTGGATATGTGCATATATGTGCACTGTGGGTGTGAGAGCGTCTCCATGTTGTGGATATGTGCATATATGTGCACGTGTGGGTGTGAGAGCATCTCCATGTTGTGGATATGTGCATATATGTGCACTGTGAGTGTGAGAGCGTCTCCATGTTGGGATATGTGCATTTATGTGCACTGTGGGTGTGAGAGCGTCTCCATGTTGGGATGTGGTTTATGACACACGCTTTTTAACTCCATCTCCCTCACTACACACTGCCTTTTGCTTCCCAGACAGCTTACCCTTCCCCTCTGCTGCTTAAGCCACTTTGAATTAACAGTGGATACAACTCATGACCCCTGAAAGGGGATCCCTGGGGCACAGACAAGGCAAACTTGGACCCATCAACCACCAACACTGGCCACCAACTAGCTCACCCTGGACCTTCATCCCAGATGCAAGCTCTAGAGCCCCAGCCCTGTGTTCCCCTCCTCTGAGATCATGAAGGTCCTGGACTCTGCTTGTTGGGACTAAAGCCAGGGTCCTATAGGGCTAAGGGCTGAACTGAGCTGCACATTCAGTGACAGTGTGTGAGACCATGGCCTCACCCTTGATCTCTGCTTCCTTCTAGATCTACAAGGACAATCGGAACCTGTTTGAAGTACAAGAGAACGAACCACAGAAATTGGTGGAGAAGGTGGCAGGGGACATTGAGAGCCTGCTGGACAGGAAGGTGCAGGCCCTAAAGGTAGGCCAGTGTATCGGGAGCGTGAGAACATTAAGGGAAGGCTGGGTGCGGTGGCCTTGACTGAAGATGGTGCTCCAGCCCTCATTGTCACAGAGCACTTGGATCCCTGAATTTCGGCAGGAGAAATAGTTTACAGGGCTGTGCGCAGCCATGGCAGTTGCAATTGGGTTTGGCTGCATGTGAGCTGACCTGGCAGACCTCCCTCCTGCAGGGCCTTGGAACTTTCTCACTCCTCAGTCTCCTGGCTTGTCTGTAGGTGAGGGAGTGAGTACTGGGTCAGAACAGTGGCTTGTTGGTAGAGTATGCCCCTAGGTGGGCTGCAGGACCTGGGAGGGAGGGGATGACACAGAGGCAGCCACAGATGGGGAAGGCTGGAGTCCCTGCTCTGCCCAGATCTTAAATATTTCTCTGCCTGCTCTGGGCCTCAGTCTCCCAATTTATACTCAGAGAGGCTGTAGCTCTCAGGCACTGGGGTTTGCATAAGTGGTAAGACCTGCCAGGCTAGCCTGACAAAGCAACCAGACCCCTACTCACTCCCAGGACAGCAGGTGGGAAGAGGCCCTCAGGTGCTAGGAAGTCATTCATAAATGGGCAAGAAGCATCCATTCTGACCCCAGGTAAGGGCACCATTGTAGTTGCCCCCCCCCCCAGGCCTATGTAGAACTTCTGGTTTACAAAAAAAAAAAAAAAAAAAAAAAAAAAAAAAAAAAACACCCCCCACCCCTACAACATGGATGGACTGAAACGAATGATGCCAAGTGAAAGAAGCCAGTGACAAAGGCCACAAGTGTGATCCTGTTTCTATCAAATGTCAAGTAAAGGCAAATTCACAGACATGGAAAGCTGACTTACTGGTTGCCAAGGGCTAGTGGGGAGGAGCAGGTCTGGTGATTACGGGTCTCTTTTTGGTGGTGATGGAAGTATTCTAAGTTTAGATTATGGTCGTAGTTGTATGACTCTAATTATACTAAGAACCACTGAAATGCATGTTTAATGTGACTAAATTTGCTATGTCAATTAAATCTCAATACAGCAATTTTTAAAAAATTAGCACATCCATCCACAACTATGGCCAGGGTCAAGTCAAGGCAACTAGCCTAGATCCTCCATATCTAGACCTCAGTAAAGAAGGAGTCCCCAGCCGGGCGTGGGTGGCGCACACCTTTAATCCCAGCACTCAGGAGGCAGAGGCAGGAGGATCTCTGTGAGTTTGAGGCCAGCCTGGTCTCCAGATCGAGTGCTAGGATAGGTTCCAAAGCTACACAGAGAAACCCTGTCTCGAAAAACCAGAAGAAGAAGGAGGAGGAGGAGGAGGAGGAGTCCCCTTTTCCAGTAGCTGGACCCCACTGTCCCTCACAGGGTCCTGCCCTGTGTGACCTAGGTGCATGGAAGAGGGTTGGGCTGGCCTTCTAATTTGAGGGAAAATAATTCCAAGGATCACTCAACAATTGTGAGCCCAGCAAACCCAGAGCTGTGCCTAAAAAACCTACCCTGGCCTGATTTTCAGGATATCTGGTCCCAGATCAGGGAAGTCAGTTGGAAGACAGGCTGCCATAGAAGGGGCAAAGCCAGTTTTCAGCTGTAGTATTCAACCATGTGCTCACCTACTCGGCTAGCACGTCACTGCCTCTCCCCAGTGTGTCCCTTTTATCTTATTCTGCCTCCTTGCCCCTCCCTAATTCCAGACCCGTAGTTTGCACACTGCTTCCTAGTTTTCCTGCCCCTTCCCAATTTGCAGAATGAGGCTGTCTTGCTCAAACTTTTTTTTTTAAGATAAGATTTAAGTATGTAGCCCAGGCTGGCCTCATACTTCCATGCCTCCTGAACTGGGATTACAAACATATACCACCGTACCTGGCTTGCCAGCCAAATTAGTGTTGACATCAGGTATGTGTGGGAAAGGTCATGTTCATGTCTCTGGGGGCATCACTCAAAGACTTCAGGATGGGTCACCTTGGTAGAGGCTATGCTGAATGGTGGCAGTGACAGCATCCCAGAATGCAGGCCCCACTCTCCTCCTCAGAAACCATAGTCTTGAGTCATTCCCTACCTCCCCTTAACCAATACTACAGGAAAAACCGGCCTAATAGCAGAGAGGGTTGGTGCATGACCATGGGCTTGGAGTCTTAGTGCAACTCTCATTGTGTACCCCACATCCTCATCCCTGCCTGAGAGACAGGACGGATACTTGCCTCCTTTCACTGAGTTGACAGCACCAGCCTATTCCCTGGTACATAGTCAGGGCCCAATACAAAATGATCTTCAATGGAAGAATGATGGGAAAAGGCCCTCACCGTGTGGTCAGGGTATGAAGAGTCATTCTCATAGCAACCTCAAAAGGAAGTCTTTGCCCTTCCCTCTTATAGAGGGGGACATTGAGGCTGGGAGGTGACTGGACAGGATGCTAAAGAACCAGAATTTGAATACAGGTCTTCCTGACTTGGATCCTGGCCTGTGGCTCCCCACAGTCCCAAGGCAGGCCCTAAGGCTGCAATCCTTGCCCACCCAGCACCACCTCCTGTTGCAGTCTGATTCCAGGCTTACCCTGCATCCCCAGAGGACAGAAGGACTGCCTACCGCTTGGTTCTAATTGTTCAAAGTAACCTTTGAACTTTGTTATACTTTGAATTTGCTTTTAATCAAGTTCTGGTCCTTTTCTTCTTTCCCACATCTGTGTGCAGCCTGAGTGCAAGTGAGGGGATGGGCTAGGGGGGGTCTTGGCCCCCCACCCCCATTTCATCGTTCCTCCTTCCCTGGACCCCACCCAGAAATCCAATTTAAAAACCATTGACCCGGTCTTGAATCTTAATTTGGGCTTGCAAAGAGGGAACTGAGCACTGCAGGGCACTAGTTCACTGTATTGTCCAGTCAGGGCCCATCAGATAGAAGCCGGCCAGCTCAGGGCCTTGCAAACACAGGCGAGCAGGGTCCCCAGGTTCAGGAACCATGCTAGTCTCTCTGCTTTGGACATGTGGAGGGAACCCTGTCTTGAAACTTCAACTACCAAAGGAGACGAGGCCTTTGAGCCAGAGCTTTTTAGGGACTTGTGCCCCAGAAGAGACAAGAAGGTGCCTTAGTTCCTATTGTACACCAGAAGAACTTGGGCAGATTTGAAACACAACTGTCATGTCCCAGCCCCTCTCAATGAGGAACTGGCATACAGCGCCTTAATTGGAATGGTCATTTATTCTTTGTTATGTCCCCCAACCTTGGCGTTGTCACCAAAGTTCACTTATGGCCAACCATGTGGTAATTCCCGTGCTGTTGCTGAAGGTGCAGTAGGGAAGGACAGGCCATGTTCCTACCTTCATATGCCAAGACCATCCATCTCAGTCCCTAGCTTCCCTCTCTGTGCCTGTAGTGCCAGTTACTCAGGAGGCTAAGGTAAGAGAATTGCTTGAGTTCAAGAGTTCAGTTTTATTTATGTTCTCAGAAACATAAATAAAACTAAGGGCATGAGCACCTCCCTGCCCAGTACCTCTAGTTTCACAACTCCAAGAGCTGTCATTCATAAAGGACACTGTCCTTGAAGGCTGTGTTGCTTGCCACCCATCCCTGGCACCTTTGCCATGTGGCTCAGAGAAGAGGTCTTGGCTGAAGTGAGACACAGGCCCATAGGTAAGCTAAGGGCATGATGGCTTAGAGAACTGATTGCCAGAGAATGGGAATACCAGGGCCAGGGCACCCAAGATGTGGCACCTGGACCAAAGCACATTACTGTGCACATCTGTGTGGAAACTGGCAGCCTGCTCCAAGAAGTCCTTTTGTCTTCCAACTTAGACAAGCCAGGGTAAAGTGGCCAGCCAGTGGTAAAGCCTGGCTGGGTACTCCAGAACCTAGAATCTCAGGCCATGCAAACTGACAACACCTTCATATGTGCCACCATTATGACCATGTAGCATTAGTTGTCTACAGAAGGACAGGACCTTGATCTGTGAAGACTTAGTGATCTTGGACAAATCCCTGTTCCCTCACTTTCTTTCTTAGACAATGTGTGTCCCTCCCATAGGCCCCTCACAAAGCTCACATGGGTGGGGCAGGGGGGAAATGCAGACCTAGCCTTGGATCTGGGGGTTCCAGTGGGCAGCACCCCCACCATCAGTAGCCTCTGGGGAATTAGAATCATTTAAAGAGTAGAATTAAAAACCCTTCTGAGCGCAGTCGCCCTGCTTTTGCCGCTAATGGCCACTTAACCCAATTAGCTGACACATGTTGGCAGTGTGGCCGGGTCTGTTCAGGAATGGGGCTCTGAGCTGGGTGTTCAAGAGGGCAGGAGGTAGAGGCCAGGGGCTTGAGGATAGGCTGTTCTCTTTCCTCCCAGTTCCCACTCAGTTGCTGCTTCCTTTCCAAAGCTTCGTTTTGAGCAGAGCCTCGGCCTTAGTACCAGGGGCACTGTGAACTGGATCAGTCCTTGCGGGGCCTGCTCCAAGCCCTGGAGCATCCTTGCCATCTACCCACTAGAAGCCAGTAGCCCATCACTCTAACCGTCATGTCTCCAAGTACAGCCTAGTGTTTCCTGGTCAGATGGCCCAAGCCATGGGACAATAATGAATAGAAGTCCCACGTGCAAATGGAATAGGGCAGCCTCAGCAAGAGAAAGATTCCTTGCTTCCAAAGGGGCAATAGGGAAGGCTGCCTGGAAGAGGCAGCAAGGGGAATGGTTGGGTACTGAGCAGCTGGAGGCCAGTTCAGCTGGGTCCATTGATGAGGGTTCGACAAATAACTTGGTCCTGGGAAATCCAGGCCACGAGTCATCTGCCAAGCCCTGGCCTGCAGTAGGAGCTTTGTAAGCAGCTTTGTAAGATGCTGGACCCTGGCTCCAGATTCTGCTGGAGCTCAGCTTCTGGGGTCCGACTCAGAACAGGCACAGTAATGGTGGGCTGACAGGCAAGGGAGTCTGTAGCACCCGTTGCCTCCGCCCACCCTTCTCTGAGCAATTAAAAGGTGTTTATGTGGGGCTGGCAGTGGCTTCTTTCTCCCTTCCATTACGAACATTAAGA